CAAATAACATAATTTATGTAACTTTCTTTCAGCAAATATTTACTGAGGCGATTATACCACAAGCGCACAAATTACTTTAAACTGTACAAAGATCTTTATAATTTGATCGAGTACATTTCTCAAGACTTTGAATTATATGCTTCGGGCATTTTCAATCCTTCAAGGATCTTCATATAGATTTAGCCAAATAAGTCATATAGGTTAAGACTTGTATCTAAATGGTATGACATCTTCAAGTGTCTAGACTGCTAGTCCGATCCTCACAATCGGTTACAATATTGTGCACTATATTGTATTAAATATATCGTCGACGATCATTTTGTGTCAGTTCCAAAGCGACATAATTTGTGGAGATCTCATCACTTTCTTTATTTTCAGGTACCTGAACTTTTTCGGGAGTTTCATGAAATGTTATGTCGTGGGCTCTTCTAGAGCTTATTTCCTCCTCATTTTGACCATTAGCTCCTACTATTTTGCAAGGATTGTTACCTTTGGAACCGATTGATCTACCACTCTTCATGCGTACAGTAAACTCTATCCTTCAGGGACTTTATTTTTAATAGGAGCATTTGCAGCTGAAATATGATATTTAATTTTGGATCATCGAATGTTTCTGGCATTCGACTTGAATTATCTTCTAAGTGAGGATCATGATAATTCGATTTATATAGCATATTTTTCAACTGTTTATTCCATCCCCCAAATGTTAGAAAAACTAACATATATCCCCAATCATCTTTGGGAAACATATCTCTGTGTATTATAGTAGAGAAATTAATCATATACCACGCAACAAAGGATAGTAAAAATATTTGGTTTCTGATCCTAAACCAATTGTGAAGGGAGGACTTATCATATATTGTTGATCTGATGCATACAAGTGCTGCTATATGCAATTTAGAAAATCTTAGACCAACACATGAAGCTTTGTTCTCGTAAACATGGTTTAGCCATTAATAGGAGGTATTCAATGCTAAACCAGCTTGGATATAAACCAGCATTATCAAGATGAACTGTCTTGATTTCATAATCTGAAAATTATGCTCTTAATCGAGAAAAGCAATTCCAAATGCCAAACTGCAGGTTGACAATAATTACACATGTAACCATCTCATATATGCACCTATAAGTGGTTCACATGATAGGTGAACGGGCCCATATTCACCTTTTATATATTTCAGAATCAGGGGTCTTAGTCCCAACTTTAGCTGGTATAATCAATTCATTATGAGAACAAGCAACACATGAGAATTCCTGAAGAATCTTCTAGTTCTTTAGTATATGCTTATCTGAATTTTCAAATAGCTCATTTAAAAGTGGCAAATGAAAACTTCAAGTTTATCATGCCATGTGCTATCTTAGTAAACTTCTGGTTTACTGTGATACATGATATAGTACAAATTAAAGAATAAGGTGGGTAACTTCTCACATACATATTATTTTACCCCATTGTGGAAACATGAAGATTATCAATCTTCCAATTATTTGTAGTCTCTATATGATAGCTATTTGTATTAGTAAACTTCAGGTTTACTACAACATATGTTTTGACCATAATCATATAATATGAATGACATATTTGTATATAAGCTCTTCGAGAGCCTTCATTTATTATCCACAATTTAATATTTATCACACTACTGGTGTCATATGTCTTCTAGACAAACAGTTAGCTCTTCAGGAGTTGTTGATATATTTTGTACTATCAAATATTGCTCAAACACTTCTGGTATCATGAGAGAAATTCTTAATAAAATGAACATTATAAAGACAATTCTAAATTTATAAATGTAAGAAATTAAGAATTTCGGTATTTTTACCACCAACTTTGTGACAAATGTTTCCTTCAGGGAGAAGCGTCATTAATATCTGAATATTTTATATCAAAGCGGCAACCACATAATCATTGCGTCCTTTAAGAAAAGATACACGAGTTGTTATTTCCTTCGGGGAACTCAATAACTAACCATAATGTACTGTTGTGGTTGTAATAGAAAGCATTCTACAAGAATACTTTTGCCTTGGAATGATATTTAATAAAAAAAATCCAAGATATTTTACGTACAACAGGTACGTGAGACAATGATCTTTATGCCACAAAAACAAGATTTATATCCTTTGTTATCTACCTCTTCAGGAGGTGAGTTATGGTATTTCTTCATTCACTCCAGGGAATGAAAACGTGCTTCAAAAATAACTTTGAATAACTTATTATTTATTTTAAGCACAAAAAGACACAATTTCATAATATTTTCCTGCTTCAGGAGAAAATTTCAATTGTGTTACTTCTTCAGGAGCAAATTTAAAATACGAAATATTGAGTATATATTCCCTCAATTATATTACCTCTTCTAGAGGTGAATTGTAATATATTCACATCAAAAGCGCGTTCATATTTACGAGCTTTGTTAATATTGTCACATTCACTTCGGGAATGGTTAATATTTGTCAAAAGTTCTCTTCCTTCGGGGAACAGAACATAATTATTTGAATGTGTATTAATCACACCAAATTATGTGACGGCTTAGAACCTCTTTTAAAATATTGCTACTTCAGGAGCAAATCGAGGCATGCAAGTAATATAGAGAAATTTTCTCTAACTTATCTTCAATTGTAACCATAGAAAGCCTAAATTATCACTTCTGGTGGTTATAGGCATATACCATTTCTGGTGGTTAACAAAATTTAGTTACAATGAGATATACAAAACATAACCACTTCTGGTGGTTATATATTTTTTGCAAACTATGTTGGAGTTTAAGTGGATCTAACAATGTTATCCACTTTATAATCCTTTATTATGATTATTAGGATAAAGAAATAAATACTAAAATACAGTAGCATATAACCAATCAAGCGATGATAAAGATATTAAATCAAATATAAGCAAAAGGCTCAAGTTACTTTAAACAAATTTGGCCACTCCAGACGTAAGTGATATCCACATCTCTACCGCCAAGAAAAAAAGCTCATCACCTCAAGGATATAGTATGCCTTATGATGCTTGGAATGAACAAGATCTAACCACGGATATAAGAATGTCTTCATACATCATAGATGAACACTGAAATAGAAATTAAATTCGAAGTAAGTGCTCAAAATGGTAGAGTCTCATGCTGATAACGTGTTATAAAATAAAGATTGTAAAGTAAAGACAAGTATAGAGAGAAACTGATATATTATTCAACTTCAAATTCATGTACATAATGAACTGAAATCTCTTATATTTATAGAAGAAAGGAAGTTGTTGTGTAAGCTGCTACGCAAGCTGCTACTACAAGCTGCTGTGTAAGTTTCTATTACAAGCTGTTGTGTAAGCTGCTAAGCAAGCTGATGTGTAAGCTGCTACTGCAAGTTGCTGTATAAGCTGCTACTGCAAGTTGCTGTGTAAGCTGCTACTGCAAGCTGCTGTGTAAGCTGCTACTATACCAGATATGGATAATCTTCTACCTAGGGTAATGTTTATCCATAACCGGGTACCAAAATGATAAGCTTCTTCAGGAAGCTTATTTCCTATAGAGTACTAAATAGATAAACATATTTACGGTGGAGTCCCATATGGATAAGCTTCTTCAGGAAGATTATTTACAACGGAGTACTAAATGAACATCCATAATATAATATATTTATAACACTTATGTGAAAGATAATCTATTGATACGTTTGTACTTTTAGCTTTAGTAAATGAAGAGTTTTTTAAAAGAAAAAACAATTTTGTTTGTAATCAATTACCTATCGTCACCTAAAAATATGGTAAAACAACTTCTTCTTCCTCGCTCTCTCGGTGCAGTTTAAGCCAACGTGCACCGACCTCGTCAATGGCAGAAAAGAAGTCATGTGATCGTCCTAAAAACAACAAATCAAGGTAGATGATAAGATCCCCAAGCTCAAAAACAATGGAAATTCCTCATCTGCAGTCATGGAGTCAATCTCAGGAACTTTAAAAATAGATAGAAGGCGGAATTCTAACTCAGATCCCTTACATTGGAACTTCAGCATCTGCAAGTCAAACAATAGAAACGAGCAAATCATAGCCCTATTCCTATGCAAGTGAACTTGAGAGATAGCGTTACATCTCCCGCGTCTAGGGATATTACTGTTCCATTGGGCAAGGAGCTTAAAGCTGAAAATCAAGCTCTAAAACCAGTTGATACTATATTGGGGAAGACGAAGGAAGCTGAGACTCAATTGCCAGAAAATACTAAAGAACCAACTTGGGTTGGGATCCTTAGTGGTAATCGACCAGTTGTGAACGGTATGCCTTTGCACTACATTACTCCTGAAGCAGTAGAGGGTAATCTTGTGGCTAAACTGGACAAATCAGATTTAAAAGATGAAACCCTAAAGTGGAAATGTGCCCTAATCATTTATGCAATTGGGTAAAGCCAGGGTATAATTACATGCATCAATACATAAATCAAATGTGGAATAGGTTGCTATGCCAGAACTTTATTCTCATAAGGATGTGTATTACATTGTTAGGTTTCAATCCGTGGCTAACATGAAGACAATTCTGTGTGAGGGACCTTACACAGTCAACAATAGGCCCATGATAATGAAACAATGGAGTCAATTGTTTGATTTTGATGCAGAATTTTTAACTAAGATTCCTCTTTGGGTTATATTTCCCAAACTTCCCATGAACTGCTGGGGAGGTACCTCATTGAGTAGAATAACTAGCACTATAGGGATTCCATTGTTAGATGAGTGCACTGCCAAACAAACTAGAATCTCTTATGCTAGAATTCTCATCGAGGTGAATGTCACTAAACCTCTCCCCAACAAGGTCCCTATTATGGATGATTCAGGCAACGTGTTTGATCAGGAAATGAAATATGATTGGAAGCCAGAATTCTGTGGGGAATGCTTAAAATTTGGGTATGATTGTACAAAGATCCGTAAGAAGGAGGTTAAGCAAATTCAACAGCCAAAAAGAATTAGACCACAACCTATGAAACAAGTGTGGAAAACTACAGGAGTTGTGTTAGCTCCTACACATAAATCTAATCAAGAGCAGCCAAAGATGATGAATGATGCCTCCTATGTGTGTTGTTGAGAGCAGAACCAAATCCTGAAGAATGGCAACAACAAAATCTTGATAAAGGGAAGTAAGCAGCAGAAATAAATGGCATACCCCTAAATTATGAACTAGCAGTTATGTCACCTGGCAAGCAGAGATCAAGTCAACAGACAAATGTAGCAGCGGTGGTTAATTTGTCAGTATTACTACAGGTGGTATATCTAAACCTTCTTGATGTCCTGGTTGGTTTGGAACATTAGAGGTACCAATAAACGATATAAGCAAAAAGAGTTAGGTACCTATATTAGAGAGAACGATACCAAACTAGTTGGCTTAGTAGAAACTAGAGTCAAAAAAGATAAGGCTGATTGCATTGCTAATAGGGTAGTGTTAGGGTGGAAAGCTAGATTTAACTATGATCATGCTGCTAATGGAAGGGTCTGGCTATTATGGGATCCTTCATACTATGATGTATCAATAATAGACCAGTCTGCCCAAGCTATATATTGTGATGTTAGAGGAAGGATGAATCAACTGAATTGTGTCATGATAGTCATTTATGAGTTTAATACAATTGAGCTGAGAAAGCCTCTATGGGTACAACTACATAATCTTGCTACATAGATCACCAAGTCATGGCTAATTTGGGGAGATTTTAATTCAGTGCTAACTATAGAGGATAGATTATACAGGAACCTAGTAACTAGCAATGAGATTCAAGACTTTGCAAATTGCATGCAATGTTTGAACTTATTTGAGTTACCTTGGAAGAGGAAATATTATACATGACCTAATAAACAACAAGGTGTAGAACTGTAGATAGAGCTGTCAGCAGGATTGACAGAGCTATTGGCGATGATGAATGGATGAACATTTTGGGCATATGGAAGTGGATTATAAAATGCCTTTTATCTTAGAACATGCCCCCATGATGATCACTCTAAGGAAAGCTGAATCCAGTGGAAAGATTCCATTTAAGTTCTTTAATGTTTGGGATCATCATGAAGACTTCTTAGCAGTGGTTGAAAGAGTTTGGCAGACACAGTTGCAGTCAGATGCCATAAAAGACATCTGGTGCAAACTGAAGGTTATTAGATCTGAATTGAAGCAACTTAGTAACAATGAGTTCAGAGGAGTAACAACTAAGATAGAGCACATCAGAATGGGCTTCTGGATACCCAAGAGTAGCTGAGCAGAGGCTACACTGATGCAGATGTATTAGAGGAGAAATGATTAGTTAAAACTGGAAAAATGGTCAGTAATAGAGGAAAGCATACTTCAGCAGAAATCTAGAGCTAAGTGGATAAAGCCTGGTGATTCTAACACCAAATACTTCTCAGCTGTAATGAAGGAGAGGAGTCAGAAAAAGTTATTGCAGAGCTTACTAATGCTTTTGGAGATAGACTCACTGATCAGAAGCAGATTCGGGCTGAAATAATTAGCTTTTATAAATCTCTTATGGTATCAAGGTCAGTTCATTTGCCTGCAGTCAACAAAGAGATAATGAAAATGGGATATGTCCTCGCACACTCTCAACAGGTGAACCTTTGTGCTGAAGTCACCGAACAAGAAATATTTGAAGCATTAAATGCAATTGGGGATGATAAAGCACCAGGAGTTGATGGTTACAATGCATTATTTTTTAAAAGATCTTTGAAATTAATCAGGCAAGAAGTGTGTCATGCTATGAAGAATTTCTTTCATACGAGCAAGTTATATAGAGCTATCAACTGTACAGCCATCACCTTGATTCCTAAGGTTCTCCATCCTACAAGTATCAAGGAATATAGACCTATAGCTTGTTGCACTGTTCTGTATAATTTAATTGTCAAAATTCTTGCAAACAGACTGCAAAAAGTTATTGCATCAGTTTTCTCAGACACCCAAGCTGGTTTCATTTCTGGCAGGAAAGTTGCAGATAATGTCTTACTGGAACATGAGTTAGTTAAGGTTTACTCAAGGAAGAATATTTCTCCAAGATGCCTCATTAAAGTGGATATACAAAAACCTATGATATTAATGATTGGAGATACTTACACCAAGTATTAGAATGTCTAGGATTCCCACTTCAATTTACCAACTGGATCATAGAGTGTGTGTCAACAGTGAACTTTGCCATTATCATCAATGGAAAGACAACTAAGACATTTGATGCAGCTAGAGTAAGCTTGTCAAACAGGTCGGATTGACCCGTTTGCGGACCGGCCCAGACCGGTTGAAACCCGGACCGATATTTAGGGGGCCGGGTGGGAAAGGTTAGGGGGTTAGGGAGGTTTGTCCGTTCACCAAAAAAGATTCGGTTAACCGGAACGGTCAACAAAAATTATTATTGAACCGGTTAACCAGCCCGACTCGGCCCTACCCGGACCGGTTTAACGACTTGAAATCTGGATTTTTTTAAATGTCATATGACTGTAGCCCAGCAGATTGATTGGAAGAATAGTCCTTTTTGGGCAATGTTTTAAAAAAATACTTTTAGTAATTACTAATTTAGCCTTTTGAAAAACTATAAATACACCTCCCCTCTTCTTCATTTCTTCACTCATCTCTCATTTCTTAAACTCAAATTCTCAATTCAAGTTAAATCATGCCCCGTACTTATACAATGCGCTCATATGTTTGGGAACACTTTGAGGTGGTAGAATAAAATGAAGAAGTTCATAAAGGTGCAAGAACTGTGGTCTAGTCTTAAATCTTCATCTAAAATGGGTGGGCACACGCTGTTTAAGGAGGCATATGAAGAGCTGCTTTGAGCGTCCTCCAGAAATTCCTATTTAAGTTGATTTGAGACAATTTGTGTTATTTTAAAATTATTATACTTATTTATGCTTAATGATTTAGTTTGTTAGATTAATTTGAAGTATTATCATGCAATGAAAATTTAGTTTTACTCTTTTTCGTTAATTTTGTTATTGTTAAATATAAAATTTAATTTGTAAGTTTGAAATAAAAAAAGTACTTGCAAATTATAAGTGCAATTTTTTCTCATTTTCATTGTATTCTATTATCTTAAATTCTTAATGAAATATTCAAAATTTCAAATATAAAGATTTTAAAGCCTTTGCATCCTTTTATTAAAACACTCTTTTTATAACATTGTTTTTTTAATATTTTTACGTTATATTAATATAAATTATGATAGTTATACAAAATACAAAAAAAAACTAACCCGGCCCCTTGGACCCGTAATCCTTTCAGTTCATTTTTACCCGGATGGACTCGGACCCCTTAAGCCCGATTTTGAATAACCTGTAACCGGCCTGGATTGAAAAGCGGTCAGTCACCTTTTTTTCCAACTCAGACCTGCCCGGGTCACCCGTTAAATACCTATAAGCCAGAGGGCTTAGGTAGGGAGTTCCTATGTCTCCATTTCTCTTTGTCATAGCAATGGAGTATCTGACTAGGAACCTACAGACACTCAAACATGAGAAAACCTTTCACTATCATCTTATGTGTTCTAGATTGGACCTCACTTATTTGAGCTTTGCTGATGATCTTCTTCTTTTCACAAAAGAAGACACCATTCTGTTGTTCTATTGAATCAAAAGTTCAGTACCTTTTTCAGAAGCCTCTGGACTTTAACCAAATCTAGCCAAAAGCTCAATATATTATGGAGGAGTAAGCAATGAGCTGAAGCAGGAGATCCAATAAGCATTAGGGTACAGTGAAGGAGTGTTACCTTTCAAGTACATGGGCATACCCCTGGATACTAAGAAGCTATCAATACTGCAATGGCAACCCCTTATTGCCAAAATTGTGAGCAGGATTTCTTAATGGACATCAAAGGAGCTATCATATGCATGCATAATACAGTTAGTCCAAAAAGTCATCTTTGGCATTCAAGCCTATTGGGCTCAAATCTTTATTATATCGGCTAAAGTCATCAAAGCAATCGAAGCACATTGTAGGAGCTATATATAATTTGGAGCGAATACAATAACCAAAAAGTCTTTGGTGTCATGGGATAAGATGTGCTCTCCAAAAGCTGCTGGAGGATTGAACTTGATTAACTTGGTCATGTGGAACAAAGTTGCTATCACTAAAACCTGCTGGGAACTGGCCAACAAGACGGACAAGTTATGGATCAGATAGATCCATAGCTACTATATCAAATAGCAGGATTTTAAGGATACGGGAGTACCAAAGCAAGCCTGTTGGATAGTTCGAAAGGTCTTTGAGGCAAGGGACAGACTACACCTTATAAACAACCTGTCACAAGACTCAATCACAGAATAGGTATACCTACAACAACTAGGTGTATTACCTAAAGTTCCATGGAAAGGATTGATGTGTCAAAACCAAGCAACACCAAAAGCCATCTTCACTATGTGGCTTCAGGTGCAGGGGAGAATACTAACAGTTGATAGACTGAAGACTTGGGAAATGCAGATAGAAGATACTTGCTGTTTCTGTCAACAAAAACCAGAGACGCGTGATCATTTATTTGTCGAATGTGAATATGGCAAATGTATATGGCACACGCTCATGATATGGTTGCATATTGGGTATCCTCCTATAGACTCATGGGAAGAAAATTATCAATGGATAGTTAAGCAAACGGAAAGTAGATCTTAGTTGGCAAGAGTGCTTAAGCTAGTCTACGAAGAGTATATTCATGCATTGTGAATTGAACAAAATTCTGGGATCATTGAGAAGAAACCTACTGCATGGGAGGTCTTAGCTAAAACAGTAGCTTGCATATGCAACTTCAGAGCTGAAAGATATACACAAATGTTGCTTAGCAATTGTAAATACTAGTGCGAGCTAGAATGTATAGTGTTTTTTTCAGTTGGATTTTCTTTATCTTGTAAAGTGGACTGAGATGGTCCACCTTGATTTGTAAATATTACATGGTGATTAATGCAAAAAATTTAATTACCAAAAAAATGAAGAGTTTACATATCTGTAATTTGGTTGTTACCAAAATAATTGCAGTTTATTCTCTCCTTTACGTTTAGTTGTAAGATTGTATTTTTAAAATATGTTTAGAAATCAAGTACTTCAAAGTTTAAATTAAAATGCCTCTCAACTAGTAA